AAGAACGCAAAAAGTGAGAATCATTATTCACAGTTGTTCAGCTCATTAAATTTGAATTAAATTAAATGCCGAACTAATTTCTCCGAAGGTCCCTTCATTGAGTTTCTAGTCGTTGTCTGGAAATACGTCATTTCCCCTCTAGAATTTATTATTTTTTGTCCCCAAATGTATTCCTTAAGAATAGATTACTTGTTTAAAGATTACTGTAGTCTTGAATAATGGATCAAGAGCGCCCTACAATATGCAAATGACATTCAGTTCTTAAAACGTTTTCCGTAGTAATCCTCTCCAAGTTTTGCGAGGAATCTGCGATCGCTGCCGTTTATGTTCGCAAGTTCATAATAGCGTGTGACTAACTGACACAGTATGTCCAGTCGTTTAGTTTTTTGTCAATGACAGCCAGTTTAGTCAAGGCTTATCAACTAGAACGACGAAATCAAGTACAGTCAGCATTTGCAAACTAGTTTACCCTCATTTTTGGAAGCGATAGACAAAGACAGTAACTGTTGCCGATTGCAAAACCAAACAACCATACTTTTTTGATGCATATCTCGATTAGACCATGAAATGCTCAACCCGTCTTCTAACTCATGCCCTGCTGGTCGGCCGCCAAAAGATATGCCTTTACTTGTAAATAAAGTGCAATTAGACGTCTGTTAGAGGGAAATTCGAATATGCCATGGTCGCAGCATAAATAAACTAGTGACGTTTGGGTAGAATGGTGTGCTCGTAAGCCAAATGCTGGCGAGCTTAGATTGTCTGGGGTTCTGGAGTTAGATACTGGAGTTCTGTGAGAGCCAAACATGCATGGGGTATGTCTACCTCAATGGCCGGATAGGGTGCGACCGCTATGCTGGGACATTTTATCACGAATCTGGAGTTCCCGCAGACTAACCTATACCCACGGGCGATCATGAAGATAGCGATGTTGCGGACAAAAAATGGAGCCAGAACAATCATCTTTAGCTTCTAACCCTTCGTAGTCAGCTTCCTTCCCATGTCACATTTTGGATCCGTCTAACTTGAAGTTAAAGTAGCACTGGCGGGCTATTAAAACTACGTTATAAGTCCATAATCCAGTCTCTTTGTTGTTTCAAGAATGGTTCCAATTTGTTTATATATGGGGCATAGATCTTGTGCTAAAATGAATTCCTATCGCATGCTTTACATTGATGGCTTTAATTTCAAACCAGAATAAGGCATGAAGTACATCTGAATGCATATTCTGTTCTGTTTTGTAGTTTTTTGGCAGACGAGTCTTATCAGATGTCCGAGTCAACCCGAAGCTTTTTAATTGTATAGTAAGGGAATGGAACTACTAGGATGCAGTTGATTTCAATTTAATATCAAGCACTTTCTTCAGCGGAAATTCGCGTCCCATTATCAGGGGTGGGGCGCTTATTAAAAAGGTCAGGGAACATGATCGTCCCGTTGCGTTTTAGAGCCCTGGCAGTCAGCCGCATAGCGACAAGTGTTTATGCAAGAAGGAAGCGAAGAGAGAGACCAGGGTGTTCGCTTCAGAACTACTAGCCATCGTCCGTTACCCATAGCCAACCTGGGTTTGGATAACCTTGGAGTTGATCAGCGAACACAGTCCCGCCAGCGACAATTACAATTTCCAACCTTTACTGACAGGACAACGGACCTGTGGCTGAAATGCAGAGCCTAGGATAATTTGACGCGTAATGACCAATGAACACACGATCCGCAAACCTGGAGTTAGGCGCAGCCGGCTGACGACGACTGCTAAGTCAGAAATTGCCCTCTTAGTTTCAATTCTTCGTCAGCACACCCTCCTGTGCCGGTTTCCAATGGTCGATAATGTGTGCACGCATGATATTCAAAAGATCATATGCTCCATTTGACACTTGGCCTTACTGACTGGACACATTAAGTCTTCCTTGGCTGCATGTACTTCAAGAATCACCACATGAAAGGAGGAACCCTTGTTCTTCGATATCACCTCTTTATGTTTCTAACTATTTACGCATATAAGAATGCGTTTTATGGGGGATACTTTCAGACATTTACGCATCAATCTGAAAATATGGAGGCCTTTGCGAAACTCCCAGATAAATCACTTCGATCGAAAGTGAAATTTGTATTTGAAGGATTTGTAGTGTAAAGGCAGGTAATTTTTCGCAATAGCCGGTGTACTAAATCACTGTAAGTGTCGCTAATGTATTTACCAGAGGTTTGGAAAACTCACCAGTAAAAGTATTTCTTTTTACTTATTACCCTGCATTGAAAAGTCATTTAACGGACAATATCTGTTACTACTTCCGAATAATATTCACTAACTGTGTCCGTATGTTGGAACCGTCTCCAGAGGGCATGGCTAGAGGTGAGTCATGAGGTCTGCAGTTCAATTTGCAGATCGGCATTAATGAAGAGGAAGACTAAGGCGCAAACACCCTTGTTAATAAGTGCCACACTGCTTTCAGTGTCACAAACAGCTGTACACATCAACGTGCGGTTCACTGAACGAAAATTTGTTCTTCGATCAAAAGATGACAGTGTCGTATTTGAGTTTTTTAGGAACCAAGGCGAGATTTGGTTAGTTTTGTGCTTTTCATTCGCATCCAAAACAACTATGATGCATTCAAAAACGGACCAGTGACGCTCGAACTTCACCCTCAGGGAGTTTATTGCAGTAAGCAGAAATTCAAATCGTTGATTATAAAAAAATGAGATGGTACGGGAATTATTCAATCAGAAAAACAGTCCGATGAGCGGTAAACAGCTACACAAAAGGCGGTCTTCATCTATTCGACTAAGCAGTCAGTGGTTGTGGCAACGAACGGCACCCCAATTGGGGGTGATTTACTCGTGGAGCTACTTCTCCTCTTTCAGGAGTACAAAAAAGACAGGTTCAGAGACTTGTGGCTCCCATGAAATATGCAAACAGTGCTACGGTTACCTTCCTGCAGTAAACTGACCTTGAATTGGGTTTGGATGTTGTGTAAGTCTGTCAACAATCTAAGTAATATGAATATATTGGTGTTGAGTGGACGAATGCTTGCCTGACGAGGATAGTAAGAGGGCAGAAACAATTATACGCTCGACAGAGTTGCGTCTTTTATGGTCTACTGTTGCCACTAATAGATCACACGTTCTTTCATTTTTGAAGTGACCAAACTCTTAGTTCACTGTCCTGTTGGTTGCTAATGGAAGCCCTGATTATCCTGAGGATGATGCTCCTCTTATCTGATTGCAGGACGGACAATCTCACAGCAGCAACTGATAATACATATGGATAAGGATAAAAACCATGGGGACTAAAAAGGCAGTTTATCCTGTCCGCTCGCCGTCAGCTGTCCGGCGGTGCCCAGCTTACGAGGACTCATGATTGGAACTTTGGCGCAAACAAAGCGTGCACACTTCCTCCCGTGCAATTAGATGATAAGGCGCCACTTGCGGAGTAATAAACAACAATTTGCCTTAAAAACCCGTATCCGAACAACTGTGGACTTCTATAAAATCGAATGACAAACCAGTGGCTTAGACAGGCGTGAAAATAAAACGCGAATGTCTTCCCTATTGAGATTTAGAAATAATTGTTTGCGTGGCTTTTTTCGACTGTATTAACAATTAAGAACATCAAAGTTGCCCCTTACGCAAAACCCGGTATGACGCAGCATGCCACTGGAGCGAAAGCAGTTATAATCAAAGGAAGGACATGCTTTGGTACACTGAATTACCGTATAAGTACTGCTCCTGGCATTTCATTTAAGAAAATGTGATACTTTTCAAGAACCACATTTGGGAGACAGGTTTTCTCACGAGTCACTAGCAGCTGATGTTAGGAATATCAGTATGACACATTCAGTACTATAAACTGGCTTAAGATAAACTGATCACTGCTGATAGAAGCGAACAGGCGAGCCCCAGGTAGCAGTTCAGAAGATGAAGATGCGATCACTGGGACAAGAAGTTTATTTGCCTGACGTTTCGGATTCTCACTCGAATCCATCATCAGAGACATTCGCAGATAGAGGTGAAGGTGGCACCAGGAGTGCAGTATTTATAGCACGTGGCTGCCGTGGGACCGTATGCGCACTGCAATTAACAGTTCTCACAATCGCCGCTGGGGTCGTAATTGATGCGGCGGTGGCTTGGCGGTCCGAGTCCGAGTTGTTAATTGCCGCGATTTCGTCATCCGTGCTCGATGCTGGTGTGACGATTGCTCGGCAAACTGGCTCACTGTCACCGTGATAATTGCTCACCCGCGCCCTCCCCACGTGACTGATTCTCCGGCCCAGGGAAAATCGCAATACGGAATAGGCCACCGGGAGGTCATTGTGTTTGTTGATGGATTGCGGGCCTGAGAACCATGACTCGAGCAGCTCGCGGCTCACGCGGTTGTCACCCCTTGCGAGGATTTCGGCCTCTTTAAATTTGAAAATATGGCCGGGTCCCGTCGAGTGTGCCGCCACCTGAGAGTTAGCATCTCCCCGCCTCACTGCTGCTGCGTGCTCGGCAAGTCGCGTACGGAGTAATCTCCCAGTTTCTCCGACATCATTGCTTTGTCCGCAACTACACCAGATCCGGTAAACGACTCCAGACGTTTCCTGCCGTGGCAGCGGGTCTTTTGGCCTCATTACTTGGCGCCTAATGGTTGCTTCCGGCCTGTGTGCAACCCCAACTCCAAGTGGAGTGAGAAGACGACCTACGGACTGGCAAAGTGGCTGTTCCAACGTCTCAAGTTTCTGACCTCCGATTCGAACACCACAGTCAGCTCGTCAACGCAATTCTTGGAGTAACTTAAAGGAGTAAGTCTCCTGCCAAGCGATATCATGGTTTCCTTTGATGTCACGTCCCTTTTTACTTCTATCCCGCAGGACCTGGCAGTCGAGACAATCGAACTACTCCTTTGAGAGAAGTACGACGAAACGGAGAATCGCCTCGGACACGCCCAAATCATCCAGCTCCTGAAGTTCTGTTTCAAGACGTACTTTACATTCGACGGAACAATCTACGAGCAGGTGAAGGGAACGCCAATGGGTTCGCCGATTTCGGGACTCATAACCGAGGCGGTCCTTCAACGGCTGGAGTCGCTGGTTTTCCGACACCACAGACCGAAATTCTGGGCTCGGTATGTGGATGACACCTTCGTCGTCATCGAACGGGATCAGGTGCTGACTTTCAAAGAACAACTCAACGCCGTCTTCCCGGACATTCAATTTACGATGGAGGAGGAGGAAAACAATCAGCTGGCCTTCCTGGATGTCCTCGTCTGCCGCAAAGATTGTGGTGGCCTAAAAACCAAAGTGTTCAGGAAAGCGACAAATACGACGCAAATACTGAACTTCAATAGCAACCACCCGATCAGTCACAAACGCAGTTGCGTAAGGGCGCTATACCGGCGTGTTGAGACGCACTGCAGTGAAATGGAAGACAAGGTTGCTGAATTACAATATCTTCGACGGGTAAAGAGAGCCAATGGCTACCCGCGCAACTTTGTCAACCAGTGCATACGAAAAGGACACCAGAGACCAAATCCAACTCGCCCCAAATTTTGGCGGGCTCTTCCGTACGTGAAGAACGTCTCGGAAGCCGTCAGTCGTCTTCTCACTCCACTTGGAGTTGGGGTTGCACACAGGCCGGAAGCAACCATTAGGCGCCAAGTAATGAGGCCAAAAGACCCGCTGCCACGGCAGGAAACGTCTGGAGTCGTTTACCGGATCTGGTGTAGTTGCGGACAAAGCAATGATGTCGGAGAAACTGGGAGATTACTCCGTACGCGACTTGCCGAGCACGCAGCAGCAGTGAGGCGGGGAGATGCTAACTCTCAGGTGGCGGCACACTCGACGGGACCCGGCCATATTTTCAAATTTAAAGAGGCCGAAATCCTCGCAAGGGGTGACAACCGCGTGAGCCGCGAGCTGCTCGAGTCATGGTTCTCAGGCCCGCAATCCATCAACAAACACAATGACCTCCCGGTGGCCTATTCCGTATTGCGATTTTCCCTGGGCCGGAGAATCAGTCACGTGGGGAGGGCGCGGGTGAGCAATTATCACGGTGACAGTGAGCCAGTTTGCCGAGCAATCGTCACACCAGCATCGAGCACGGATGACGAAATCGCGGCAATTAACAACTCGGACTCGGACCGCCAAGCCACCGCCGCATCAATTACGACCCCAGCGGCGATTGTGAGAACTGTTAATTGCAGTGCGCATACGGTCCCACGGCAGCCACGTGCTATAAATACTGCACTCCTGGTGCCACCTTCACCTCTATCTGCGAATGTCTCTGATGATGGATTCGAGTGAGAATCCGAAACGTCAGGCAAATAAACTTCTTGTCCCAGTGATCGCATCTTCATCTTCTGAACTGATCACTGTTATGATATTTTCCTCAGATGTGCTTCTGGTGAGTGTTTTGAGAACTGCCACTACCAGATTTTTCGTCTGTAGGTAGAACCAAAATGGTCAAGGTATACTACGGCAGCAATGAAACAAGGGAACAGCGCAGAATAGTGAAAAACTAAGGTAGATTATCTGTTGACTGAGGTGATCGAAAGCCCCATCTTCAGTGACGAATGGCCTGTTATTCAACGTAACAGAATAACCCACCTTGGTGTTGTCGGCGAACAAGTTGTAAACTTAGAATTCGCAAAAAGATTTTACCTTTCAGACAGCAAGCTTTTCAAGTACGTTCCATATTTAAAGGATAACGGTCACCAAGTTACGTATAATAGGTAACGTGTCTGAGAAACATTAACAGAAATTTTGAAATGCTGAAAAATCACGCTTGTTAATGAAAGCTTACTTATGTACTATGCGTTTTCTCCATTAATTTCTGATGCTCTTGTAAATAAAAACACATTTTATGACAACATAAAGAGGAGCATTTATTCATTTAGTTCTTTTAGAGTTAATTTAAAGTTCCCAAAATTTCTTACTCGAAGGAAGAGTATCTTTTGGTTTAGAAGCGTTTGCAGCCGCTGGCCTTCTTAATAGTCTGACATGTCCGTCAGTTTATCAATGTAATTTGTGAAGTCCGCAACACGGTAAGTATGCATAGCACAGTCCAGTAAGCGCTATATCGTACCTTCTTAATAGTCTAGGGGGAATATATGAGTTTTCTTTGATGGGATATGTGTAGCTTGTGATTATAAATCCTGAAAGCAAGCAAAACATCAAGTCAAAGTTGAAGTTAACGAATAATGAACGGCAGTGCTTTAAAAATGAAAAACGCCACTTCTTCAAATAAAAATATTTAGAAAGCTTGTTCGCTTATCGACATTTAAAGTATAAAAGTAATTCTACACGGGTTGGCATTTTGTAAACAGCGTAGTTTTTACAGGCGATGGAAAAGACGCGCATTTAAAAGCCGGCATCTCGATTCTGTTGAAATATTCGGGGATTAGGTTGTTTTATACTGTATACTACATCTTCACCTATGAAATACTTTCTGACTGAGATAAAATTTCTGAATTTTAGCTGACGTTTAATGCGCTACAACCTTTACTGTATACGCCATCTCGTCCCCACGCAAAGTTTCCTTTAAATCGGAGACTTGTTTTAACCCCTACAAATGCGCTATCCAGTGTGGGGTGAACGCCAGTTCATGTGGAGTAACAGACGGGTGTACAAGTGCGATAAGCAGACCGGGAGCTCTGCACAGGTCCATACGAGTTCATTTTAGCCCTTTAGTGTTATTATTGAAACAAGATTGGAGAGAACAGATAAAAGGAGATGAAGACCCTCTCACTATAATCAATTTGAAGTGCACAACAGCACAGCTGCCTCCCAATAGATGTAAAAATAAGCACTTAGTAAGGACGAAAGAATTGATTTAACCAAGTACTTACCGCACTAGACAGATACGTAATTCTCTGGTTACACTAAAACGCACAGTGGAACACAACCCGGCTGCACTTGATACACATTGCTCACGAATGCACAACGGCCTAAAATATTACAGTATTCAGAATTAATGGATCCCCGCTCACTTTGTTTGTTTACAAAACACACAAGAAGTTACGATCACTTTTTACTCTCGACTGAGAGTGTATAGAAGGCGATCAAACTTCTGCTTAACCTATACACTTTCTTGTGATTTCAAAGCGCCAAGCGCCCCACGGGACTTAGCAGCGGAGGGTCCGCCGGCCGGGAAAGTTACTTTCTGCTCACCTTTGAAGGCGATTTTGGCTGCCCTTGTGCTGGGAAAGACTGCTGTGCATTCGCAGCAGTAAAACAAGAACCATTGTACCGAAACTGCACCGACGTACACAACACCTGCATCAAGTTATTTCCTCTGTCGGTAGGAGGTCGTAAAATGAATAATAAAACCAAACACTTTTGTTCTACCCGCTTTGCAGCTAACCCGCTCGCCGCCTCAATAAGTTATTAAAAAAGCAAGGGATTAATGTCATTAATTCGAAAATGTCCGGGCATTTTTTATATGAGCGAGATGGAAAAATCACGAAACTATCACGTCCTTTTAACTTTGCAGACAATCTTTAAGTATATGCGTTTTATCGGCAGATTTCCTAGCACCTAAGAAACCACTGATAACTCCAATTACGAATATCCATAAGGAAGGAAAAAGTCGAAAATATCTCAATTTCAGGGAAGAGGCCGAGTCGTACACTAGAAAGTCCGTAAAGTCCACGGATGAATTGTACCTTCAAATAAATCGTGGAACGGATGTTACAAACCAGACAGTAAGGCAATTTAAAAATAGATATCATAGGCCTTTTAACTTTTAAGAATCTTCTTCCAACTGCTTTTACTTCTCTGCTTTACCCCTACGCTCGCAAAGTTTTCAGAGCCGCTGTTACAAAAACCCTTTAGATAATACCTCAACAGGGCACTGAAAAGACTGAAAAAGCAAGTAGTGGAACAAAAATAAAAGTAATGTATTTTTGCGACATATTTACTCTGAACACAAGAGGCCTTTTTGTGAAATACTTCCTTTGTCACTGGATTTGGTATTTCTGCCGCGCAACCGCGCTGACTACACCACACTCGAGATTTAAGGGGAAATAACAGTTTATCAAAGGTCGACGCTGGGTTTAACAAGCCCAAAAGCTGGAGCAGCTTCTAATAATTTACTCATCACTTTCTATGGTTCAATGGCAAAGGAACGGAACGGAAAGCCTTTAACTTTGCACTCGAGTTAGTCCCAGGAGTGAAGCAGAGAAGCCGCTTAGTTAAAAGTTCATGGCTAGTCATTTGCCAAGATTATTCGTTTAATGATCTTGCGGATTTTGCTCAACAAATCCCAAATAATGCGTCAAATTTCATCATTTGACCCTCGCAGAAGGCCGTCCTATATTGACTAACAATCAGGAGTAAAGATTTAGTAGGTTAAGCGGCTGTAGGGATCTGCAACGTCTCCTTATGCAAGTAGCAGCTTAGTGAATTAACGGCCTACTGCATTTTAGCATTTGAAGATACCGCAGTAGCAGGCCAGGCATTAAATACAGTGCGTGACCGATCTCAAGAAATATTGGCCAAAATTCTGGAATGAGTTTTCGATTAGGAAGGATTAACTGGGTGGGGTTGTAATATTGATAAGCATGCAGCATTATCCTGTAATATGTCGCCAGGATGTCGGCTTTTGAATGCACTTCTTTTTGACCTCCCGCAGAAACCACACGGGGTAAGAAAATGACTACTGACGTAGCATGCATTATTCCAATTGATTTTGGATAATTTTGTAAATATAAATATATATGAAGAGAGAAGGCTCGTCAGAATATATATATATATATTTTACAGAAACATGCACGAAAATATGCCTTTGTACTCGCTTGGTAAAAAATCAAATCGTCTGCATATTTTATGCCTGAGGAGAATGTATATTTCGGTTTTAAAAAAGTTTCTTAATTTGCGAATAGTTTTAAGGCTGCTCTGCCATTGCATCAGCGTTTAGCGATTTCAGTCTATAAGGTGCTTGCTTTCCGCTTAAGGGAAATCACACATTCCTCTATTCATTTAAAAATATATCAAAATCAATACGAATAATGCACGCTACTTCAGTAGCCACTTTTATACCGAGTGTGGTTTCTGCATGAGGTCACAAAGAAGCACATTCAGAAATCGACATCCTTGCGAGTCCGACATATTATAGGACTATGCTGCATGCTAATCAATATTAAAACCCCACCTAAGTAATCCTTCCTAGTCTAAAAAGCATTCGAGAATTTTTTGGGATTTGTCACGCAGTATAAAGGCCCGGACACGCGTGTTTCGCCGATATTCTGCCGCTGCATTGTACAGCTTCGGTGAGCCCACTAGCATTGATCGTGTGCTTTCTGGAAGATGCTCCAATTTAAAGATTGTTGTTCTTCAAGTTCCTCAAAAACTTAACTGCTAACTTGGAGGAGATCAGTTCATACTAAGGTCTATAGACGCAGGCCGAACTTTTGATGTATGCACGTCTAAGTGGAAGTCCATCAGCCACATTGGGAATGGCCGCGTAATATTCATTAACTGCCGACAGGCAGTTAGTAGTATATTTTAGCGCATACAGAGTCGAATCCCTTGCAGCTGTGCCATGCAGCGGCAGAATATCCACGGAACTCGCGAATCTGGGCTTTTGGCTGGTAGCTGTGCTGTTAGCATGGTATCTTCAAGCGCTAAAATATACTGCTAGTTGCCCGTTGGCAGTAATGAATACTATGCGGTCATCCCGCTGTGGACGATTACCTAAAGATTCATACATCCATTTTCTGTCTGCGTCTGTAGATCATAGTATAAACTGATCTGCTCAAGTTAGCAGCTAATTTTTCGACGAAATTAAGAAACAACAACCTGTTGCACAGATCGACGAATGGCACAGAAAATGTATTTTATGTTTATTAAATGACCCCCGTTGCCATAATCGGTGCTAAGAGTCTCCCTGGGCAGGGAATCAGTCACGTGGTGAGGGCACGGATGAGGAACATTCCCAATGAAATCGTCTAAATTGCCGAGTAATGATAACGCTAACATGCAACACGGATGGGGAAATTGCGGTAATTAACTATTCGGGTGCGAACTGGAAAACCACCATCGCCTTAATTACAACCCCCAGCAATGATCGCAAGAGCTGTTACTTATAGGGTGCATGTGGTACCACAGCAGCTACATACTACAAATACTGCATTCCTTGTTCCTCCGCTACCTTTATTGACGATCGTCTCTGATGAGGGGTTCGGGTGAGAACGAAACCTCAGGCCAATAAACTTTCTCTTCCAGTGATTGCATCTTCCTCTCAAGTAAACCGCCTTTCAAACCTCCCTGGCTTCCAGAACTGCAGTCCACCCGTAACTGGTTGA